GGCTGGTGGACACAAATGTGCAGATTGAACGGTGGCCTCCAAAGAGCCCCTGGAGACATCCACAGCCAAGAGCCCCGGGCCACGAAAAGTTGTTCGATTCGGGCCCCGATTCGGGCCCCGAAAAGCTGTTCCTTTCGAAAAGTTGTTTGATTCGGGCCCCGATTCGGGCCCCGAAAAGCTGTTCCATTCGGGTCCCGGATTCGGGCCCCGAAAAGCTGTTCCATTTGGGCCCCGGGTTCAGGCTCTAAATTGTTTTCAAGCTGGAAAAACTCTCCGTGTTGGCTCCGAAGACTTGTTCAAAATTTGGGCCGGGTTCAGGCCCCGAAGTTGCCGCAGAGGGAGCAAGGGACAGTGGCGCAATGGCAGCGCGCCCGAACCAACCTGCGGACCCGCAGTTGGTTGGGAGGTCGCGGATTCAAATCCCGCCTGCCCCCATCTTTTGCGCAGAGTCCTCGGGGCTTCAACAATTCAATTGCCGAAAGGAGCTCTGGCGCCTCTGGCAGGCATGGCTGGTCTTCTGATGTGGAAGGTCTGAGAAACACATGAACACGCCTGGCCGGCCATTAAGGACATGCTTTTTATGCCTTTTTGTTTGGTGCTTTTTTTGGACCGAAAACCTTGTTTTTTCGCGTGCGCGTTCTTTGTCAAAACAATCCGTTTTTCGGAAGTGTTTTTTTGCCGAAAATCTTGGGGAGGGAGGGGGGGAGGGGGGAGGGGGGGAAGAATTTTGGGATGCGCTCTTACTCCAAGGTGGCTTGAACTTGACTTGCGTTGCTGCATGGCCAAAAGGACCCCAAAGAAGAAAGTCAAGAGGGAAGGGGCGGGATCCGCTTGGGCAGAAACATGCAGCAGGGGAACTTGGCAGCCTACTGGTTACAATCGTTGGCCACCTTAGCAGCCGATAAGCAAGAAGCAAAAGGCCGTGCACGCGCAGCTGCTCTCTTTTTTTCCGGCATTGCCCCATGCCAATGGAAAAGAGATACAGCTGGACAGCGCCAGTGAGACCCCGTCATATGGCAGCTGCCAGGTTTGCCTCAGGCACTGGCGCTGGCTGCTTTCGCCTCAAAACAAACTGCGCGAGCGCAGTTTGTCATACTGGTCCAACTTGCTGTTTAAATCACGCAGGGCCTCTTCAAGCCGCGCTTTCTTTTCAGCTGCTTCACGGAATTTCTGCTCAGCCTGGCGGAGACGGTCACACCAGTCCCGTGCACCCATGGTAGTGCTTTTGGTCCAGAAATCTAATTCTTTCTTCATGGAGTCATTGTCCAGCCGCAGCCGATCTACTTCAGCAAGCAACTCATCATGGTTTTGGAGATTCAATAGTTCTTCCTTGGTGAGTCGCACACGGATGTTGCAGCGCCGGCTGTTCTCGTACCTGGCCCAGTGCAGTTTGCAAAGATGTTTTGGGCAGGCTCAAGAACACAGTTGAAGAGATAATAAAACACATACTACAATTATTGACTGAACTGTTATTCCAAGCTGCCGTCTCTTAGTTGTAGTTTTGACATTCACGGGGTCGGCCTGCAGCTTCTTGGTGTTCTTCATCTCCCCCAGCTCGCTCTTTATCACAACCATGGCACGCCCCCTTTGGCAACGGCGACGTGAAGTCAGGCGGCTGGAGCTTGACAAAGAAAGTAGCGAGAGTCCACCCCCTGCCCAGATCTTTTCAATGCTGGCCCATAAGAGTTTGTCAATGGTCGAAAGGTTCAACTACCGGCAAGTCAAGCTTTAGATCCCCAAAAAACAAAAAAGTCCAACTTGCACAAAGTATTCAAGCGCCACAAGAAAAAACTACCCGTTCGGGCCTCGAAGAACCGTTCCATTCGGGCACTGGGCTCGGGCCCGAAAAAGTCATTCCATTCGGGCCCCGAAAAGATGGCTGGTGGACACAAATGTGCAGATTGAAACGGTGGCCTCAAAGAGCCCCTGGAGAAACATCCACAGCCAAGAGCCCCGGGCCCCGAAAAGTTGTTCGATTTGGGCCCCGATTCGGGCCCCGAAAAGCTGTTCCATTCGGGTCCCGGATTCGGCCCCCGAAAAGTCGTATACCATTCGGGCCTCGAAAAGAAGGCTGGTGAACACAAATGTGCAGATTGAAACGGTGGCCTCCAAAGAGCCCCCAGAGAAACATGCGCAGCCAAGAGCCCCGGGCCTCGAAAAGTTGTTCGATTATAGGGCCCTGATTCGGGCCCCGAAACGCTGTTCCATTCGGGTCCCGGATTCGGGCCCCGAAAAGTCGTATACCATTCGGGCCGCGAAAAGATGGCTGGTGGACACAAAAACGGTGGCCTCCAAAGAACCCCTAGAGAAACGGGCCCCGAAAGAATGGCTGGTGGACACAAATGTGCAGATTGAAACGGTGGCCTCCAAAGAGCCCCTGGAGAAACATCCACAGCCAAGAGCCCCGGGCCCCGAAAAGTTGTTCGATTCGGGCCCCGATTCGGGCCCCGAAAAGCTGTTCCATTCGGGGATTTGGGCCCCGAAAAGGGCCGCGATTCGGGCCCCGAAAAGTCGTATACCATTCGGGCCCCGGATTCGGGCCCCGAAAAGATGTTCCATTTGGGCCCCGGGTTCAGGCTCTAAATTGTTTTCAAGCTGGAAAAACTCTCCGTGTTGGCTCCGAAGACTTGTTCAAAGTTTGGGCCGGGTTCAGGCCCCGAAGTTGCCACAGAGGGAGCAGGGGACAGTGGCGCAATGGCAGCGTGCCCGGACTAACCTGTGGATGCCACAGGTTAGGTTAGGTAGGGAGGTCGCGGGTTCAAATCCCGCCTGCCCCCATCTTTTGCGCAGAGTGACCCTCGGGGGGCTTCAACAATTCAATTGCCGAAAGGAGCTCTGGCGCCTCTGGCAGGCATGGCTGGCCTTGTGATGTGGAAGGTCTGAGAAACACATGAACACGCAGTGGCTGTTGAAACTCACGCGGGCTCCTTTTTCACACTCTCAGCTTTCCCCGCGACATGTCAATTGCATGTCTCCCCGACCATGTTGCTACTAAGAAGCAAGCAGCAATTGCAGCTTGCAAAAACCGCCGTTTGGGAAAACAGCAAGGCATCCAACTGCGGGGGCGCAGTTGTTTGAACACCTGATCCAATCTGTACTGGAGGCGAGACATCAGGTTGCTCGGAATCTTTCTTCTGCTGCCACTTCCTTGCCAGGACCTGGGCCTCTGCCCAAGCCACTGCGACAAGCCCTGGCATAACTCGCTCACTCAGTGGCAAATCGTCGGCGCTCCCCACGTAGAACTTCATCCCGAAGCCAAACTTCTGTGATTGTCCAAGGCCTTTCACCACAAAGCTTGAGTTGTCCAGCTTAACCATAATCTTGCAGCATCCTGCAGGCTTGACCGTGTAGGAATGGTTGCCAACAGGCGGTGTCTCAGGCATGGCATCCGCAGGTAAATGGAGGAGCGTGGGGTAATACTTCATCAAAATGTTTCCAAGCCGCTCCTTCTGCTGCAGAATGCTCCGCAAGTCTGGGTGGCTAAGCTCGTCCCAGTCCCCCGACTCATCACGCTTGCGTTTCCGCTCTGCGCGAAGGTCAGCCCGACTGCCGAAAATCACCGTGCTCTCGTGTTCAGACGACATGTTTGGAAACCTTCGGCAAAACTCGGGCCTTAATGACTGCGGCGATGCAAGTCAAGGGCAGGACGACAAGCAGCAGCAATGCCCGTGCACTCACACAACAACAAAGCCTAGCAGTGCTCATGCACATGCGAACACCACACTCCGTGGCTCGATGCATTTTTTTCAATCCAAGGCCACACAACTTCAGCCTCAAAAACACTGTGCGTTGTGGCTGGCGGCGGGCCTGTCTCAGTCTCTACTCAGAGGAGAACACAGTGACTGGTTTTGAAGTTCCAGCTGCGTTTCCGCAGCTGGCGGCAGCACGCTGATTTGCGCGCTGATCTTGGTGCCATGGCGAATTGTTGATGAGGGGTCCAACTTGGACACGGCCAATTTGATCGAACTTGGTGCCAGGGACCTGGTCGGCGGTGTCGACCAATAGAAACTCCGAATCCTGAACCTGCATGTCAGCGTCCTCTCCTTCTGCATCAGATTCATGCTTTACTGCAGTCATCTGCTCGATGTCATCAGGATGCCAGATGGCGTTGCCAGGAAAGAGAGAAAGTGGCATGAACCTGCGAATGATGTCAACGTCTCGTCTGTAAAGGGCCTTCAGCATCACCCGTGGTTTTGGCACGGGGTCACTGATTGGCAGGCAAAGTATCGAGGAATAGTCCTGGGACCACTGAACCAGGTCAGGCACGCGATCGAACTCGTCCTGCCAGCCCCAAATCATGAAGCGCTTCTCCCAGGAAGCATGGCCAATCGGCCCATAATCTCCACCATAAGGGGCACGTTGAATGTCATACACCACGCAACTGATAATGCTTCCTCTTGTACTCGTTGATGGCATATATCAGGTTCTTCGCGGGCCCTGGCACCAGCTGAACCCAAGGCCGATGCTCGATCCACTGCTGCACTGAGGAAGTGCGAGTTTCGTGATTGCGCCAGTCTGCAGTTTCCTCTGTGTAATGTCTTTCCAGATAATCGTCGCTGTTCACATGAATGAACACTCGCAGATCCTTGAACTCCTCCATGCAGATGGGGCTCCCTTTGCGAAACACGATGGCTTGATCCAACTGTTCCAGTATCTCCGCATGAAGCTGATAGAGCGGGAAGAAGCTGGACTTCCACGTCACCAAGCAAGCGTGGTCGCCTGGCTGAAACCGTGCCTCCTGACTGCCCATGTCGTCCAACCATGACGACATAATTACTGTGGTAGCACAGTAATGTCTGTGGGAAGTGGGACTGACGCGCAGTAGCCTAGATGTGAAGCGAAAACATCTGCAGGGCAATAACATCAATCAACAACATGGCAACTTTCAAGGACAGTCGCAACTTGCAAGGTCCAACACGCAATGCTTGCTCTTTTGTTTCTTTGCCCATCACGCGATGCCATGGTCTGCTGCGCGCCCGCAGCAGACATTGCCACAAGGTCTAGTTTACATCATCAGCGGGAGGAGGTTTCACAAATTTGCGTTGCCTTCTCTCAGGACTTGGCATTGAAGCTATCGCATTCTTCCTCTCTGTGCTCTCAAGCCAGGCGTTCCGGGCAGCATTACTATCCAGGCCGTTCTTGGCAGCGTTGTCAAAGAAAGCTTTTCGGGTATTGTCATACTTTGTGGTTTTCTTTGACGCGCCCTTGGCTGTGGCCTTGCCTTTGGCCTTGGCTTTGGCCTTGGCTTTGACCTTGGCCTTGGCTTTGGGCTCTTTCTTGGCCTTGGCTTCGGCCTTGGCCTTGGCCTTGGCTTTGGCCTTGGCTTTGGCCTTCGCTACTGGACATGGAGGATCTTCTCCTGCGTCTTTGTCTTCTTCTTCTGCTTCTTCTTCTTCATTCATATCTTCGTTCTCGTCCTCCGGCTCATCAGAATCATCCCATCCCCCCGCCTCGCCGAAGAGCTGCTCGATGGAAGGCTGAGCCTCCTCGTTGCCAGAGTCAGGCTCATCGCAATTGTCGTTCTTCCTCAGGCTCGGGAAAAAGTTGCCTTCTTCAATGCCGCCGCTCATGAATGGCAATGCTACTTACTGGCTTGAGGGGCTCATGAGCAGTTTGCGCAAGCTGCTCAAGAGCACAGGTCGTGGACTGCAAATGGTTCTCCGTGCACTGTCAGTTCAAGAGACAGGACACTCACAATTGCAGCAGCGTGTTCATCCCATTTTCCTCGCAGCGCTGCTGGGCGTAGACTGTCGGAACCGGAAAAAAAGATCCCGAGCTCTCGCTTTCTCGCCTTCTCGCTTTCTCGATAACGCTTATTCGATCCGCCGCAGCTGCTCAAGATGACTTCCTCAGCGGCCTTCCGGTGCGTGCAGGCGTGGCTTCTGGAAAAGCCCGCCGCGTGGGCGGACGAGGACGCTCCCTGCCTTGCGGCTGCTCTGATGGCCCAGCGGCCTCCCTGACATGCAGCGCAAGCGGCCTCGCGAGGACGCGCTCTCATCTCGCAGCTCGATTGGGAGCTCCTCGGCGAAACTCGGAACAGACATCTCCGCCGGCGGGGGACGGCCTCAACAATCTCATCGACAGCCGGAGCGGGCCGGCGGGGGCAGTGGCACCTCATGCTGCTGACGTCTTGAGCCAATCAACGGAAGGAAGCACGCTACCACGCAGGTGGCGCCGAACCTCGCCTACTCTGACCCCGAAATGGCAGAGATTGCTCTGCGCAACGTCGGGCGCAGGGCCAAGCACAAGGTGACCCGCCCGGAAATCAAGGTCGGGGATATGGTTCGGATCAGGGTTAAGCCGATCGAAAGCAGGCGGAGCTGTAGAGACATAGAGGTGGGAGCCTGGGGCCTCTCTGTGGCCTCCTCTGGCGGGACTGCACCTCCAACCCCCTCGGTTCGGGAGCTGAGTTTTCGGAGACTTTTCGGAGATCCCTGTGCACCACCTTTTCCGGCCACCCCTCCAAGCGAAACCTCGCCCCCATCTTCCCGCTCTTGGCGGAGACTAGCCTGTATACCTTTTCGCTCCTATCTCGTTGACCCTGTAGGAACTCACTCACATCGGTTCGGGGGCTGCTCGGCGAGCCCTCATCTCTGACTTTCCAATTTTCCCACCGCCCGTACCACGTGATGTCGCTCTCGAACCAGCGCAGGGCAAGCTCAGCCCGCTGTGCGCGCGTGGCAGGTGCGAAGAGCCGTGCAGATCTCGCACACCTCTCCAAGACTTCCTGCGAGTGCTTGGTGTTTTCGAGCTCGCACGCAAGGCCGGACTTCCACGAGCGCCCGTCCAGCTGCTCATCGAGGAGCTCGATGTGGCGGCGCTGGTGCGAGCGCTCGGCCGCAAGGCAGGGAGCAGTCGAACGCGCTGAATGGACGAACGGTCCCAAATGCTCAAAAAAACCCGCCGCAGCGCTCAAGATGACTTCCTCGGCGGCGTGCAGGCGTGGCTTCTGGAAAAGCCCACCGCGTGGGCGGACGATCGTCTCGCACAACCAAAAACAAAGCATCCCTCCCGCGGTGCAATAAAATGCTGTTCTCTTCCTCAAGGATCTTGACGCGGCGCTCCAGCGCCTCACGCTGCAGAGTCTTCGGCAGACCCGCTCCCGCGCCATCCGCAGCTGCACTAGATCTCGCTCACTGCGATCGTAGCAGCGCTCCAGCATCCCGCTGAGAGTCCCACTGCGCGCAGCTTCGGTAAGGAGATCCTCTTCACTCGATGCGGAGCCGAGTACAGACGCTCGGCCTGGAGCACTCGCGAGCCCGCGCGGGAGGCCGCTGGACCATCAGAGCGGCTGCAAGGCTGGCAACGTCCTTCTCCGCCCAACGGCGGACTTCTCCATAAACCATGCCTCACGCATCGGAATGCCGCCGAGGAAGTTATCTTGAGCAGCTGCGGCGGATCGAATCATTAAAGCGAGAAAACGAGAGCTCGGGATCTTTTTTTCTCGCGCGTCCTCAAGCTCATCTGTGCGCTCGCTGCGCCACTCGCAGGCGGAGAATTCTGTTGCTGCGCTCCAGCTCTTCAACGCGCTCTCTAGCTCGCTCGCGCTCTCTGCTATGCGGCGCAACATGGCTTCTTGATGGTGCGGATGATGCGCTGAAACACCTTCTTCATGCCCGCCGCGGTGGTGCTCGCAAGACGGTACCTGCAGCTGGATGGGCTCCAGAGGCACGAAGCTGTTGTAGCCTCTCTCTGCGGCCGGTCCTGGTTCACCCGGAGGCCGTCCAGAAACGCCTTCACCTCCTGCCACGCTGGTGAGGTGAGAGTAGTCGAGGGTGACCATCTCCGTGCCGTCGCTCCACCTGCAGGTTCTTCCACTTCGTTCCTGCAAAGTCGTTTGACGCGAAGCCCAGCCTCAGGTCCTCGTTCATGTCCGGGCGTTGAGCTCTGCCACGTCGGCCTCGACCATCTCCGTCTTCACCCTGCTGTCCGACAAATTTGTGAAGCTTGTGTTGCAGACCACGTTGCCTGTGCCTGCAAGCACGAGGCAGCCGGGGTTCCTCTGGTTTGTGGTCAAGGACAGCTGCGTCGAGAGGCTCTTCGTCTGCACCAGCGCCTCATCGTTGATCATGATGAGCTTGCACTGGTGCGTTCCGCCGTCCCGCTCAGGAAGACCCTGGCGCTCTGGTTCCAGCAGCCGCAGCTCCGGGTCGGAGAAGTCGGAGGTGTTGGTCACGATGAGCGTGTTGGAGCGACCGTGCCCGAGCTCGTCACATCGCCGCAGACCACGCTGCCCGTCGACACTCCACCGCTGTGGCCGTGAAGGTGCAGTCCAGGCTCTCGCAGTCCAGCGGGCCCGCGGAGGCCGCCCCGTGATGGTTAGCGTGGCGCCCGTGAGCGCCCGGTGGCCGCGAAGCTGCCGCGGTTGCTGCGCCCGAGGCCGTCAGCGTGCCCGTGGACACGTCGCCCACCGTGGTGAAGTTGGCCGTGTTGTTGATGGTGAGTGTGCTGCCCGTGATTCCGGTGGCTGAGCTCAGTGATGCTCAGCGAGCTGCCTGACACGGCGCCTGTAGACGACAGCGTGGCTCCGGCGACGGTGCCGGTGGCTGTGAGCGCAGCGCAGGAGACTGCGCCCGAGGCGTCCACGCCCGTCGTGAATACGTCCGTTCACGTCGTTGCACAGCAGCTGGTCGCAGCCCACGTTGCCCTGCGCGGTAAGCCCGTCCAGCGTGGCCGGCCAGCGAGTCCGCCAGCAGGTCCGTCACGGAGACCGACTCCTTCGAAGGCTGAGGCCCTGCTGCATGCTGCACAGGTCCAGCGTGCCCGCCGACTGCTGCACCAGCCCGGGGATCGAGCCTCCGAAAGCTCCGAAGCGATTCCCCGGCGGCACCGAGAAGTCCAGGCGCGCCGTGCTCCAGACACCCTGCGAGGGCGTGCCGAGGAAGGTGCCGGTGACGCCCACGTAGTCGTTGTCGGCGCGCTGACGTACATCACCAAGTTGGAGGCCGTGCCCAGCCGGCGCCGGCAGCCGAAGGAGTACTGGGGAGGCCCGTTCTAGCGGCGCCGCTTGTGGATAGATTTGTGGCCACCAAAGCAGGGGGCCAAGTTTCCACACGCTTCAGGACCTGCTTCACGAAGAATTGAGCGAGCTGCGGCAGCAGCGGGCCGAGCTGCGCAAGGTCAGCTCGTTGTTCGTTTGCGTTCGCGTTGTGTTGGGGTGACCAGGCTGTAAAGAAGAACAAGGAGAGACAGAAGGCAGCAAGGCGGCACAAGTCGCGCTTGATGAAGGCGAGGGGCGGACTTGTCCTGGCTTGTTTGCTGTCTGGAAGTGACAGGCAGCGCGCCAACTGTCCACGTCTGACTTGAAGCTGTTGGTGTTTGCAAAGGAGAAGGAAGAGGCTGAGGAGTTTGTACAGGGCTAAGGAACAGAACTTCTCGAACGCTGGGATTGCGGTAGATGCGTTTTAGTGCCGCGCGCGCAGCTACAGTGTGTGTCTGCAAGAGCTCGTGTGTTTTGTGTCTCGTGTTGCAAGCAAGCTGCACAGGCTTGTGGCCAGGCGCAAAGCCTTAGGGTGCGACCGCTGCGTCAAGCCGGCTCAGAATATTTTCGCAGGAAAATAGCGTGATGCGCGTGGATGTTGTTCGGCGGCGTGTGTGTAGGCGGCGTCTGTGCGCCAAGGTGCACGCAGGCCACCTTTGCCAGGGGCTTAGTCACTTGCAGTCTCGAAGACCTGACGCAGGATTTGGTCGCTGTTGTTTTGCAGTTTGTAGTTGAAGAAGGAAGGAGGCAAAGTAGGGTCTAGGGTGCTTGAGGGAACATAGACGCAGGAAAAACTGGAAGTTTCTGCGCTTGGACTGTAGGAGAGGAAGTTGAAGAGGCGGGGAAGAGCAAGAGTGAGGGAGAAAGAGAGAGAGCGACGCAAGAGTGACTTTGTTGCCAGGACACGAAGAGCCAGGGCCTCAGCAAGCGCAGATAGTGTTTGTTCCGAGCTTGCTGCTTTGTTTTGTTTTGTTTTGTTTGGTTTGGGCAGGCTCTTGTGGCCAGCGAAGCAGATCAACTTTGCGCGCAAAGGCTGCTATTGTCTCCATCTCAGCAAAGTAGCAAAAGCGGAGCATGAAGGTCAAACATGCTTGTGCGTAGTGTTCTGCGTGTTTAAGGGGTTGGCAGTGTTTTCCTCAAATGGCCTTGTGGACCGGTTCTAATGCGATGTGTCGAAGAGGGCCGAAGATGTAAATAGGCAAGGTGAGTGTGTTTACAGATCATTGCTCCCTTCCATGCCTTTGTGCATCAAGGCCTTGAACCGCCCGAGTACAAAAGAGCTACTGGCGCTGGTCAAACATCAGTTCACGCGGTCACGTTGAGTTTAACAATCAACATATGATATAGATAGTGGGAAACTTGTTTTAATTCGATTGGCTAGGTGGGTGAGAAGCGTGCGAAAGGCGTGAAGACGCAGGCGGGGCAGTGTGTGCTTCTGTCAGCTACTGCGCAGTTTTTAGCAAGGGTCAGCCAACGTGGCGCAGCAAGTTTCAGCCATCTTGTAGATAGCAGAAACAGGTGTAGGTAGAGTTTGCTTGACGCCATGGGCGGAGCTCGCAACACAGAGAGAGAGGCGCAAGTACGAGCCCT